GCATTTGGAGGCCATCGCTATTAGGGGGTAGGGGGAGGCCATTGCTATTACTAGCTGAGTACTCAAAGATATTTGATCCATTTCAGGTGATCAGCGGCGTCGTGGGTTCCCAGAAGCCACAATTTGCGCTTTTTGGCGACACGGTGAACACCGCAAGCAGGATGATGAGCACTGGCGAGGCAAGCCGGCAAGGACCAGAAACCGTGCCTTTCGTATCACAGGTATGGAAAAGGATCGTTAAAGACTTCTTTAACTACCTGGGTCCCTATGCCTTCGCAACTAATCTCTTCAAGAGTCTCATCTCATTTCTCACTTGCTCGAATCCTTTTGCCTTCCTTTTTGCCAGCCAGGTGAACCATGTCCATGTTTCTGCTGAAACATACGCCGCTCGGTAGGAATGCTGCTGCGAAGGGTCAGGGTGCAGGGTCTCGCTGCATCCGCTGCGTGCAAAGATACTGTACATGACATGTCCACTTTGTTCTCAACTATGCTTCGCAAATCTTTGCAAGCTGACAGAATGAAGTGCTGTGTTTGTACTGTCTTTGCCCCTAATGTGCCCGCACAAAGCCTGAACAACACGAGTTTTGGATTGCACAACTCGGGAGGTGCTGGGATAATTGTTTTGCTTTGGCAGCACCAATGTCCGCCTTTGATGCCCATCTCAAGCAAGGAGTTCTTGCGGAATGATGATCGATTTCATTGGGAGCAGCGACAGATTTGGGCGAAAGGCCTTTGCCTTCGGCATAGTGTCGGTTGAGTGGGAGACAACATGTGTCCAACATTATACAAAGATGATGTCGTGATGGCGCTACAACTGCTGCAATGAGGTGGACTGCGGCAGATGTACTGAGATTAGTTTCTTTTTGTTGGGAGGTGAGCAGTCTTCTTGCAGTTCCGCACACTTCGCATTGGGTCTTATTAATATGTCGGATATGCGGCTATTTATTGCCGTGAATCCTTGATCATTGATTGATTATGTAATTTTGCTTGGCCATCAATGTGTTTGGCATTATTCCCCCTCCCACTCATACAAGATGCGCCGGGTTTTTTTGCGAGGCAAGGGGTATATGACCACATATCTTCTCAACCACGAGACTTGGCCGCGAAAGTAAAGCACCGATCATGTGACAGTATTTTGAGCCATCCGGACAGAGCTTATCTTGACCAGAGTGTAGTCAGTTGCTTTCTTTTGCACCTTCAATACCAGCCTCAGAAGTAGGCGATGTACCCCAGATGGCCACAGCATCAATGATTTCAGTACATACTGAGGAGAGGCGGAATCACGAAGCAGCAGTTGTCCACCGTCACAGCTCGGTTCGTGAGGGCAGCAGGCTAGACCTGGACTCCCTCGATGCGCCATGGCTGTGATGGACTGGGAAATAAATTCCCTGCAAATAGTTGTCTTTCTGCGGAAGGCCAGTTGGTGTAACTGTAACAATTCTGCCAGTTGCGCCGAGATTGGTAGCTGTTTAGTTTAAGGAAACTGTTAAATTGCTGGCTCCAGCGCTTGCTGCCAGGCGTTTTGGGAAAAGTCACTTTGTGATTTTGTTACAGGAGGCTACACACAAAAAGCAAGCCAGCAAGTGATCGTGACTCTCTTGCTCACAGACCTAAGGAGCTGCCCATACAGCCCTTAGACTTTTCAAACAGCCGGTTTTGGAATCTAAAGATGCCCATGCCCAGCTTGCAGCCGATGTACAAGCTACCACAGGCAAGGTCCGCATCCCTTGCTAGCATCCATGGGCAGATGCCGTATTCAGACTTTTCCGTGGATGTTGGGATGTCAACCCATCGACCTTTGGCCTCACAAGCTTTGCATGTTCCGAAGGAAATACGCGTCAACCGTTCTTGCGCCTTGTATGTACAATGCTTGATCACACATGAAGCCCTGCACAGATGGTCAAGAACACCTGGCACTTTGTTGTGAAAGTCAATGAGCTTGAAACTTGTCATGACTGATCTAGGCAGCGCTGTGATTCATTGAAGCATTCAGAGTTGAAGCACTTTGCTGGAGTTCGCAGCGCTTTTCCAACTATTTACATTGTGCATTTGAGGACTCCAAGAAGGCTTCGCTTGAGAAATCAACTTTTGCCGCTTGAGAGAACAGGGGGCGGCAGTATGTAGGACCGAGAGAGAGGGAGAGAACAGGTTCGGCTCAAATGGTATTTAACCCAAACTTTCTCAAGAACTTTTATGGTTCCTTTTCTGTGTTCTTTTTGCTTGTGTAGATTATATGCTGTAATCCCATGTAATCCCCACCCCCTTAACCATGGATTTGAGGGAAGGTCTGAAAATGTAACATGATGCCTGCCAGGCATATAGTTACATTAGCTCATCCCCCTAGTTTTTTTTTTCCAAACGGGTGTTCCTGACAGATGTTTTTCGTGCAGAAGATGTGCAAAAATACTGTTTTCTACAGTTCTTTTTGGCTGAAACATCACCAAGAACTAGGTGTTGAGCATTTTGTGCTTCAATGATCAAAAAACACTCTGTTGTACAGTGGTTTTTAGCTGACACCTCACAGCAACCTAAGTTTTGAGCTATTGTGTTGCTTCACTTGGTCAGACCAGGCCGAAAGAGGGAATACTCAAAAGAAAACACACAGACAGACAGTGTTTGAGACAAAAGGAGGGTACTGAAGGTACTATTACAAGAGTGTCCCACAAGAGTGTCCTATAAGAGTGTCCCGCAAGAGTGTCCTACAAGAGTGTCCCACAAGAGTTTCCTACCAGAGTGTCCCACAAGAGTGTCCTACAAGAGTGTCCCACAAGAGTGTCCCACAAGAGTGTCCTGCAAGTGACCCACAAGAGTGTCCTACGAGAGTGTCTCACAAGAGTGTCCTACAAGAGTGTCTCACAAGAGTGTCCCACAAGAGTTCCCCACGTGTCCTACAAGAGTGTCTCACAAGAGTGTCCTACAAGAGTGTCTCACAAGAGTGTCCCACAAGAGTGTCCCACAAGAATGTCCTATAAGAGTGTCCCAGGGTGTCCTACAAGAGTGTCCCACAAGTGTGTCCTACAAGAGTGTCCTTCCAGAGTGTCCTACAAGAGTGTCCTATAAGAGTTTCCCACAAGAGTGACCCACAAGAGTGTCCTACAAGAGTGTCCTACAAGAGTGTCCCAGGAGAGTGTCCCACAAGAGTGTCCTACAAGGTTGTCATTTGGACATATGTTGTTTTTCGAACGTGTTTCCTTTCGGGTTCATGGGTTCCATCTTGTTTTAGTAATTTGCAAGGCACAGGTAAAAGCACACACCAGGTGAAAAGGAATGTTTAATGTAACCCAAGCCAGCTTCACAAAGCACATACCAAACCACAAAATGCCTTATATGCCAAAAAACACTGGAAAGAAGGACCGGGCCGCATCCATGAAACAGCAACATCAACATGAGAAACCACTTGGTTTGAACATAGAATGACAAATGTAACTTGCATGCTCCCGGGAAAAAACCTGAAACATATAACTTACATGTTCAACAGATAGTTACATTTGTGCATTGATAATTGATAATGTAACTCAAAATAGTTACATTTTTGGGGGGTATGTTTGACAAATGTAATTTACATTTTCCTAGGTCTGTTTTGTTTTGTTAGGTCTATGTTATGGCCGCCTTCTCCCTGCTTGACGTCACAACTCTGAGGTTTTCCTGTTGCTCTTTTGGACGTGCTTCTGCATGGAGCCGTTGGCCTAGCTAGCCAAAATTATCTATATACATGTTTGATTGTGGCGGTCCAGCTGCGACCGTGTGGAATATATATATTGCCGGCGCAGCATGCCCACTTGACATATGAGTCAGAACATGCTGCATGTAGGCCTGCATGTTCAAACCGCGCAGCACACCGGTCCATTGCTGAAGGTCAGCATTCATTACCATCGGGGAGACGGGCGAGCATGCACATGGTTCTTGCCTGAGCTTGTGATGAGAAGCCATGCTAAACGAACTCCTTCGCATCATGCATGGGAAGGAATGCTCTTCAAGAAAAAAACAGTTGAAGAAACTGTTCCTTCCTGCTCAGACTTGAACCTCTTCATTCAGCTTCGGGGCAGCTTTGCGGCCACATTCACTTTGTGCCTTTTGGTTGGTGGCATTGTGCTGGCGAGCCTCCAGTGCATTCCCAAAGAGAAAAAGGCTGGCTTGGATGCTCCTGGAATACTGTTTTGTCATAACTAAATAGAGTCATTAGAGTACCTATCTAGAAATTTCAGAATGAGGTATTTTGCGAGAAGATTTTCCTCCACCATGGTTGCAAATCTCATAATCCAAGAAACAAAACGATAGGAATCAGCATTGCTTGTTGTGTCGCTTGAGGGAAGGCACTTGTTAGACCTTTTTTGTATTGAGTGCACCCTGGAGCAGTGACCATAGGCTGGTCTATCGAGCTGGGGAAGCAGTGTGGTGCAAGTCCTTGCTTTTTGGGACTGCAACGTTTCACACTTCATAGAGAAATGTCCAATGAGTCAAATGTTTTCTTTGGCAAATTTCTGTACCATACATAGAGGCTTTGGCACCCTCGACGACATTGTATGTATGTGTATATATATATATTATTCTATGAATGCATATGTATATATATATATATGTATGTATACAGTAGAGATTAGATGAGCAGTTGGGCAGGGAAGAGCGGCAACGACATCAACTGTGGAATCGTATCTTGGCATTCAGTCATACTAAGTCTGATTTTGACATATTGGTGAAGGCCCTCACCTACTCTTGTTGCATCTTGCGAAGATCAGAGACCATTGGGTGCTGAAGCCTATTGCCGACAAATGTGCGATGATCGTGCTTTGTGGACTCAGGGACGATCGAGAAGCAGCTTTAGGAAGCAGGCAGGGGTGTGCAATTTGATCCAGAAGGACTTGCGATGACCTGGGGCATGCTTGATTTGGGGCATACCATGCAGAACATGACCTGGCCTAGGGTACCGGTACCGCAATGGAGCGAGATTAGGGATTAGTGAGAATTGGCCTTGTATGTAGGTTGCCCTTGTTACTAGTAGCGATGCCCTGTATGTCGGTTGCCAGTTTTTCTGGTCAATCCTGAAGTTTCTTGCGCGCTCCCCATCCCGTAGACAGTGTGTTTCCACCGATGCTTGATTGACAGGCTAGACAGAAATGCATCAGCTGCATCGGAGCACTCCAATGATAAGTCAGAGATCCCTGGGAGACTTGACCAGCAGATGGCTTTGCAAGGAAGACAACTCAAGGCAGCTCTCGGCTCGATATACTGTGACTGTTTTGCAGATGTTCTTCAACCAAGGACTGTTGAAGAAAGGCAGGACATCAACATGAAACTGGATATGTATGTATACTCTCTATATGATTATATATATATAGCTATATATGTATATACATTGTTTAACGCGTGGCTAGGATGCACATATACAGTGTACAGGTGCAAACTCAGGATGAAGCCTAAACCACTCACGCATGATTTGGTATTGATTGCTTATAGCCGAAAGCCTCGAACTGCACAATGCAATTCTATGAATGACAGGAACCTTGATCCAAGGAGGGGCTTTATGTATGTCTTTACGATTGTTTGTATAATGTATTTCCTTGATGCTAAGTGCCTACTGTTTCAAAGGTGGCAGATGCAGCACGGCTCCGTTTCTTTCAGTTTCGGGCTGCGGTCGTCAACGTTGCTTGTATGCAGGCATGACAGCGTGGAGAACGCCAGCCCTCAGGGCAACGAAAATCACCGGAAGACGACACATGGCAACGAAGAACGCTTTGTTGGACGTGCTGAAAGACTGCGCCGGTAGTTTCGGCCAACGTCGGCGAACATCCCTGTTGAGGCAAACGTGCCAGCACGTTTATTTGTAGGCCACTAGGAGGTAGGTAGGAAGTAGCTAGTAGGGAGAGGTAGCTAGTAGCTACAAGTAAGCCACTAGTATGGACGCAGGATAGCTCCCGCTTCTTCAAGGAAGCTCCCCCCGCCGTGGCAGGGGAGGCTTCCTTGAAGAAGCGTTCGCACCAATGATTTGGTTCCTATTGGTTCCTGGATGTTTAGGGAAACTTAAGGTCTCGTTCTGCAACTTTGTTGCCACACCCGATGGCCACTCAGGAAAGCGCTGTACGTGCTGCTTGGCTGAGATACTGTACCATGCACTCCGCTAGAGCTAGAAAAGGGTACGTCCTGGCATGGTCGACATTGCATTTTTGCATCCAAGATGTTCAATCGAACACAAAGCAGTTGAGCTTCCCATGCCACTTCATTGAGGGAGGCAGCATGTTAACAAGAGCTGACAGGTTCAATCTCTTCATCCACATCGGTTCTCCAGTCTTCTTCATCTCAGCTGGCTATCTCACTGCGATTGCCTCGGCAATGTATGCAATTTCCAACCGTAAAGTTGAGGCGCTTGGACCGTCGAAGCCACCAGAGCATCCTCGATCTCCGCCCCTTTGATCGTCCATTGATCGCAGGAGGTGGCATATTTGATTTACTACGAATCGCTTTTCTTCATTAGTGCAGTAATGCAGTTGCTCCTTGGCAGTTGGCCAGACAAATGTCATTTGCGGTAGCAGAGATCATGTCTTAACCTCTCGATATGTGATATGTAGTATTTTCTATGTGTTTCTATTTGCGGAAAACATGTTTTTTGTTGCTGTAGATCCGTATCTAAGCCCGAGGTTATATTGAAAACCCTTTCGTTTAGATGGTGTAGTGTTTATTTATATTTAACATATCTATGTTTGCCTCCATCCTCCAAAGGAATTTGCTACGAATCTCCATCTCGGCCTTTGCTGCTGGTGCGTTGATGATTTTGCCAGCAACTGCATGTGGCATTCTGGCAGATTGGCCAGCGGGTGCCATATATCCAATTACCGTGCTACTATGGCAGCAATGCTGGTTACACACATATATATATATATATGTATATAAAATTACGTATACAATACGCATACACACATGCATGCCCATGCATGCATATATATATATATACAAATATATGCAAAATGCACACATGTTCTCCTCCTACACCTACACGTTATCCTGAGGATCAAACCGCCCCCAGGTTTGCAGAAAGAGTTGGGTTTGTGCGCCATCGCTGTTTCGTTTGCATGGTAGCATCGAGCCTGGTTACACCCTGAGTTTCTGACGAAAGGGTGGACTGTTGGTGATCTAGGTTGAAGTTGAAGTGGAGTTTGGGTGTGCACTGGAGCCAGTGGGCGAAAGGTGCATGGAAATGAGCCGGGAGAACATACCCACACACGATGGCACGCCAGAAACCCTGCCGAGCTACAAAGAGAAGGCCATCCAGTATGCCATTGAGTATCACAAGCGGTACTTGTGTGGACCGGGGCTTCTACCATCCCTGACGGGAGTGGCAAAGGTGATCACAAGGGCCCAGACACTGAGGAACCCACAATGGCTGTCACATCCTAGGGGCGTGTACCAGCTATTGGAGTTCCTTGAAGAGCAGCTCGCAAAGCCTAGCTTGGTGGACGCCAGTCGACGTCCTCAAGTTCTTTTGCAACCTGCAGCGGTCCCGTGGTGAGAGGATTGCCCGCCACTCAGAGGCGTTGTGGGAAGCATCGTCGGCCCTCCGACGAGTTCAGCAGGAGTTTGGAGGCTCTTCGACATCGAGCCTTCAAGGAGGACGACACCAAGCTTGGAGTGACTGGGGCCCAGACTCAGCTCCCGCCGCCCGCTGGGTCACAGAGTGGAAGCTTCAGGTGGAAGCCACCCGGATGATGAAGAAGGAGAAGGTGAAGATCAGTGGCATGGCACCGTGTGGACCTGGAATTGGGCGGGTTCCACCGATGGATGGTCGGCCAAGTCATGGCATTCCGCCGGGCACGAACCCCCTGCAACCTGGGATGTCAATGAGTGAAGAGATCTTCATAGCGGAGTTCCTTGCTGGATTTCTGCTGCTACATCGCAGTGGATTAGACCCTAGCGAGAAGTCCAACATCCTGGGATCCATCAAGGGCCAGTTCAACACCAATACAGCTGGCAAGGCCTTGAGAACAGTGGGCAGATGCTGACCTGGCCAAGAGAGACAAGGCCGGCTTGTGGGCAGCTGAAGAAGCCGAAGATGAAGACGCAGAGGCCTTCCTTGGAGAACATGACACGTCCTCCGAGGGCCTTGAACAGCTGGAGGCCATCCAGAAGAGAAGAAAGTAGTGGGCATGCTGTGGCTGCTTATGGAGAGCAATACGAAGGAGGAAAGAAAGCCAAGGCCAGAGCAATTGTTCTTGGTTACCAAGATCCTCGTTACTCAGAGAGAAACAGCCGCCCCGACTCCATCTCGGACAGGAAGGCAGTTGTACTTTCAATACTGTGCGTGGACAGTTTTCAAAATCGAAAAATCGAGAAAGGAAACATTTCTGGAGCTGTTCTTCAGGGGGATCTCCTAGATGAAGAACTGTGGCGCCGACCCTTGGAAGAGATCACAGACCATCTGGGCATTGCAGAAGGAACTCCACTGTTGATGCGTCGTGCAGCATACGGGTTGGTACAAGCACCACTCCATTGGCATCAAAGCATCAACAAGTACCTGACACAACAAGGGTACCGGCAACTTACACTGGAACCATGTTGTTGGGTGTGGGTGGACAGTTCCGGTGAAGTACAGAGCATTGTTCATGTCCATGTGGATGATTTCCTTTTGGGTGGCAAGCCCAACAACACCGTTCACCAACAGTTGATTAGCAACATTCGTGAGGCCTTTAAGTGTCGACAGTGGAGGAATGCTGGCGAACGTCCTGACCAAAACGCAGGAGAAGGTTCAAGGTTGGCTGTTCATGCAACTGGGCTTCAGGTGGAAGATCACACACGATGATGAGCTCCACGCGGCCGGATACGATTTCGTGGACATACAACGCAGTGCACAAACGCAACAACATCAACAACAAAGCAACAAACAAGCCAACGACAGCAAGAAAGATAAGAGCGACTCCGGGAAAAGGAACGGATAAGTTCCAGAGTTTGAGAAGTAGGGGGGGTGCAAAATGCACACATTTTCTCCTCCTACACGTTATCCTTAGGATCAAACCGCCCCTAGGTTTGCAGAAAGAGTTGGGTTTGTGCGCCATCGCTGTTCCGTTTGCATATATACAAGCAAAGAATATGTAGACATAGGTACATAAGAGAGAGAGAGAGAGACAGATCACGTGCATGCCAAGCGACATGAGAGGCACTCCTGCAAAGGTTTGTTGCAAAGGATCTCTTACAGGATGCTGCTGGAGCCACTGCGAGGTTCATTTTGCAGATGAAGGTGGTTGGAGATTTGAAGTGGTACCAACTCAAAAGTGTGGAGGATTTGAAGATTGTGGAGAAGGAGCCGTAGGGTGGGTGTTGTTTTGCAAGGCACTTAAGCCTCAATTTAGAAGACGCACTTACAGAACACCACACGAGACGCCGCATGTGTCCGGCTCAGGAGCACAGGGAATTTGACACCTTGTTGTTCCTTGTTTCATGTTGAAGGGAACTCGGTGACCGGAGTGAGATGGTGAACACCAAAATGAGACCCAAACATTGCATGAACAGTTGGGGCCAGCATGGGCCAGCTGCTCAGTTCTTGTTGGCCTTGTCTCATCAGAACAGATTGTATAAGTTAGTATTAACAAGGGGCAGCGCTACTAGGAACAAGAAGCTACTAGTAGCTCTTGGCATGACTAGTCGTAGCAAGAAGCTACTAGTAACAACGCTCCACAGATTGACTCTTGCAATTTGATGCGACAGACTGTGACCGGGTGGAGTTAACACTTTGGGAGATATGTGTCAGAGCGGACTCATGTGGGGTTGTTTACTTATGGTGATGTTGCGTTCCATATTTTTTGAACTCGTGTAATGGGATGTTGCAGGCCTTACGCAACTCATCACCGCTCATCGCGCACCACCCGAGGAATAGTTTGTTGCCCAAAGAGGTCCTTCATAGCATGCAGTCCAACATGCTGGAGATCGCGCAGCCCGACATGTGTTGTTTTCCATTTTCGATGGCCAGCCGAGTGCAAAGCGTAGACACGACCGGTGTAGGACTGAAGCAATGTGCCCGCCCAAAGTATAAGCAACCCCAGACATGTTCTCCCCCTTTCAACATTCGAACAATTTTTCTTTGAGCACTTGTCACACGGAAACTGCTCACTGCGCAGTCTTCCCTTCACCACTACCATACCCATTCTCAGACAAACAATCAATCAACCAGGGACTTCGTGGCGAAAGCACTGATTGCTCCAAGGTACACCTATCGGGCACCTGCCTCAGTTTATGATTTCGTGGAGAGTGCGTAGCGCTGTGCAGAATAGATCCGGCATGAACAGCACGAGCGTCAGGATATGACGATGCTGTTCGCTGACATTGTGGGCTTCACAGGGTGCCGCAACCGCTTTGCAGAAAACATTCAATGTGGGCGTTAACGGGCTGGAAAGCCTAAGGAAGGACTTTGTGCCAAAGTTGCTTGTCACATGTGTTTACCGCAAGTCTGTCTCTTTCATAGCTCAGTTTTTCCAGGTACTGCACCAAGCACAAGAGCAACCCCAGCACCGCAGTGAGGCTGGTAATTAATCAAGCATGTGTAATGACATGTGCTATCACCCTGCATCGTGTTGAGGATCTCCTGGCCCACATTTTTCCCCAAGTAGCCTTGCAGCTACGTACTTTACGGCGCAATATTCAAACATGCTTTGCCTCAACTGTCAACGGGGTAAGAATCTATGTGGTGCAGGCTGGTTACGCACCTTTTTGCGAGGTTGCACGTTGGCAGATTAATCAGATTTTGCTCAGATTTTTGAACATTTGCTAGGTTATGCCAAGTGACTAGATAGATACGGGGAAGAATGTAGATTTGCTGGCACCCGATTGAGATGGAGGTGCACACAATCAAAAGAGCTCAGGTTTGATGACTGCTGCAAGCTCCTAGGGGCGTATCTTGGCCTTTCGTGGGGGAATAGAGGAACCAGGGAACCCCTGGGAAATCACATGAAACTGCAGCATATGTTCTTCCCCGAGTCCCTGCACTGTTGCAGAATCTGATTCTACGATCGTTCTCCTTAAGATTGTGTGTTTGTGAGGTATAAAGTTTGCACTATCGGAGATGCATACCTTGCCGTGAACGAGCCAAAGACGCAGCATGATGACGAGGCCAGAAGATGCATGTGGCGGGCTGGTCAGGGTGTTCAGCGAAGAATAATTTCAGCCCTATGAAATTGTGTCACAGATTGTTAGGCTTACTTTGGCTCATCATGCCTGCCACGTTCATGATTATATTAGGTTGGACCCACTCTTGGGAGAAATGCTCAAGGTTCGCTCAGCCGGAGCAGATTATATAAAGTGGTTGCTGAATTCGCAGTTGGCAGCTTTGCCAGCTCAAAGGTCCAGAGTGGGAAGTTGGTGAATCACTGGCTTTGCTTGATGCGGCCTGGCTAAAGGCATCAAAGTGTTGTAGTGCGGAATTCTTAACTTCCAAGATTGGATCAGAACTTCTGGAAACGCTTTGGTAGCCAACCTGTGCAGATCATTGGTGCTCTTGTACTGCTTCACCTGGCAATGGCGATGCTTCGCATCATTGTCCAGGCAGACTCCGGTCAGAAGGAGAGCGCTTGTTGCAATTGCCTAGGGTAGTATAAGGGACATAAGGCAAACGAGGACATATATGGGACCTAAGACTCAGTGGAGACACAAGGGGCCAGAGTTTTGCGACTTGCCTGCTAGATGTAGCGCATGCGCCAATAAGACTTGAGATCTCCAAACACAGCCACCTGCCACTGCCACCGACGGCATGGTGCCGCCGACGCCCCAACTTCTACTTTGCCACTGCTTCCCTGATAGTCTCATCCATGAGCGGCATTCTATGCTATGGAGGCGAACAAACAAAGAGAGAGAGAGAGTTGCACACCAACTGTGTTTTCGCACAGACCTCGGAAGGATTCCAAATTAGGACCCCATTTAGCCCAGCATAGGCTGAACAGGCCTTCAAAAGCTGAACACAAACACAAACCTTAACCACCCACCGCATCAAACCCTTCAAGCACTTCTTTGTGGCAAGTTCCCTGGCTGGCTCTATCCAATTTTCAGAATATATAGTTTGATTACATGGAGTTTCCATGCAAGAGAAAGTTCTGAGTTGCAGAAAGTTGCAGTTGGTGTGTGCGTGATCGTGGGCATGTAAGTACGAATGCGGTCAGGCTTCAGAGGAAAACATAGTTTAGACTTTAGACTCTTTAAGCATTCTAGAGCAAAGTATCGAAAGTAGAATTCTCAGAGAAAGTGTCGACAAGTAGAGAGTGAACGGTGTCAAAGAGTAGAGCTTGCTAGAGAAAAGTATCTGTGGTTTGCGCGCTGCACGCCAGGGTTTGTACTTGAGATTCCTGACGTCTCGCCGCACCGAACCCTAGCAGTGGAACGTCGACCTTGAGAGCCATGTGGCCGCTGGAAAAGTGGCGTGGGTGATCGCCGCTGGACAACCGCGGAGGACATTTCCCTGGGACTTCGAGAACCCAGATCTAGGTGAGTTGCGCCCGCTTACCAACATTGGTAAGCGGAGCGCTGGTTGCGCTTCGATGCCTGGTGGCGATGGTCCTACAACCTCGGGTCCATCGACTACATCCTCGCTACCTGGTGGCACCATCGAGACGATGAAAGATACCTTCATCCCGGTCTTCAACAACAGGGTGGCAGACCACCGAGAGTGGCGCCATCCAAGGCAAGGAGAAAGAGGCAATCTTGAACTTGCTGACTAGCTTGCACGGCGCGGCCTGGAAGCAAGTGGAGCACATGGTGGACTCCGTCTCGGAAGCCTCAGATGGCGTTGACAGAGTGCTCAAAGCGCTCGATGCCGCATTCCAGTACGACAACCGAGTGGAGATGCCCCGACCCCTAAAGAAGTTCTTCTTCTACCAGTTGAGCCGCAAGTCAGATCAGACCCTCCTTGCGTACTGTGCTCAGAACATCGAGAACTGCTTCGTGAGATTGAGAAACACGGAATCAAGATTCCAGAGGGCGTCTCAAGCTGGATGTTGCTGAGGAGAAGCTATCTGACGCAGGAGCAGAAGCACCTTGTGCAATCTCAGGTGGGAGCAGCAATGGAACCCACCAAGTTTGAAGAAGTGTTGTACTACCTGTTCGGCCAGGACTACAAGGACTACAAGACGAAGGCAGAAACTCATCCACGATGGAACAAGAGTCCATTGAAGAAGGGACAACGCGGGTACCCAAGAAAGCACCAACACAGCTACACTGCTGAGGAGTATGACCCAGAGTTCACTGAGGACTTTGAGGATGCCTATGTCCAGGATGATGAGTTCCTTGACGATGAACAGGCTTTAGGCTGAAAGCTTTCAAGCTCAGAGAGCTCGAGTGTCGTTCCTGAACAAGCCCATATTCAGAGTCTGCTAGAACCACACCCTACGACCAGGCCGTCACGGACGACATGAACATCCAGGTTGACATTGACGTGGAAAAGATCACTGATCTACCTCCTGGCTGCATGTGGAAAATGGCCGGCTCTGCCTCGATGCGCGAATGGCTATCCGGAATCACTATGGGGTGCCTATAAGCCCACAGATACGGATTGTCCCATTGACGTACCTTGCAAAGGATAGAGTGACGCAGACCTCCCACGGCACCTTCAGGGACAGTTGGAAGCGTCACAGTGTCAACCATCTCATTGAGGAGGCCTACTGGACTGGGCAGATGAAATTCAAGTTGAAGCCAAACTTGCGAAACAAGGCGCAAAAAGACTACAAAAAGGCCAGCGGTGGCTACAAATCAATGAGGACAGCTGCAGGCCAACCTTTGGTCAAGAAGAAGGGCAAGGATGAGGTCTATGAGCGCTATATGTCCGTCGCCGATCGCCATTTCATGACGGCCACGATAAAAGAACTACAGGGTTTCTTTAAGAATGGGGCACGCCATTTAGTCAAGGGTTCCCAGATGGTGCCCTGTCAACGAATGCACCAACGCTGACTCGTTTGGCAAGAGGCATGATCCTGAGCATTTGCCAACTCTATGCCTGGAAGATGTTCACCTCAGATATTACTACCGCCTTCCTTTAGGGGAAGAACTTTGCAGAAGGGTCGTCTGATCGTGTGATCTGGATCAAGTTGCCTAAGGTCGCGAGGATGCGAAATTGGTCAAACCCATGTATGGTTTGTGTGATGCTCCAAGTGGGCGAGGGTAACATCCAACGCCATCCACTAGACCCTTGCCTTTTTATGGTCTGCAAACCACTGCCACAAGGATCACAAGGACAACAACTGGATCCCAACGTGGAGCGTGATCTGGCTTGTATCTTTGGCATTCACGTGGACGACCTCGTTGGCTGTGGAGATCCTAGTGACCCCTACTCCAATGAGATCAAGAATAAACTGCAAGGAGCGGTTCACTTTTAGAGAGTGGCAAGATGGAGATCGTCTGGAGTACTGTGGGGGCCAGATCAACTGCGAATAGGGAGGAGTCAGCACCCTGAGCCAAGAGGACTACATCCACAAAGTCAAGCCAATTCCAATCAGCAAGGAGCGACTTCAGAACCCGGACAACCAGGTGACCGAAAAGGAAAGGTTGCTTCGTGGCTTGATAGGTGGCTTGCAGTGGCCTGCAACCCAAAGCTCTCACCTCCAAGTGGGCATCTCTCAATTGGCTGGAGAGACCTCCAAAGCAAGAGTGGCAACACTGCAGAAGGGCAACAAGCACCTCCGGTATGCAAAGGAGTATGCCGACGTGGGACTGCACTATCGTCGCTTGGGAGAAAAGAGCGAGATGACCTTCATTGTCTACAGCGATGCCTCGTTCGCGACAAGGTCGATTTAAGCAGTCAAGGCGGCTACTTGCTTACCATGTGCCATCGTGATGTTGCTGATGGAAAATGTGAAGGACGCTACAACATCCTTGACTGGCGCAGCTGGAAATTGCCCCGTGTCGCCAGAACAAGCACATTGTCAGCTGAGTCACAAGCTGCGAGTGAAGCCGCAGACAGCCTGATGTACACGTCCCTCTTCTGGAACATGATCTTCAAGGCTTTGCTGCCCCTGGACAATGTCGAGACAGGACATCTGCCCAACAGCCCGAAGCTGATAGTGGACGCCAAAGCCCTCTGTGACATCCTGGTCAAGGAGGAGATTCAGGCTGCAACTGGGGCTGACAAACGGACAACGATTGAGGCATTAGTATGCCGAGACAAGTTGGCACGCTGCAATGGCAAAGCGATGTGGGTATCATCAGAGCTTCAATATGCTGATGGGCTAACGAAGGATGCTGCAGCACCATGTTGCTGAGTCAGAGATTGCGACCCACGTGACAAGGCTCAAAAGCGATGAGACATTCCAGGCCCCAAAGAAGAAGAACAGAGCAAGTCGCAAGAAGGGAGAAAACATGTACGCCATCAAGAGGCCGGAGAGAGCATTCTAAGCAATGTTCGCCAACTTCTTCCTGAACGTTGCGGACGCCCATGAGATCGAGAAGGGTGGCAACGGGACTACAAGGGAGAACTACATCCATGAGGGTTGTGACATGTTTGGCTTCATGCTGTTGACCCTTTTCACGATGCTCCTTGGCATCCGCCGCATCCTGGTTTGGCTGGATGTGAAATGCTTTGACAAGCTCACCATCAGCTGACACCGAAGTACCAGAAGAGAGCGCGCTTCGCAGACCGACCGCACTGGCCTTGGGGAACAACGCCTTGTGGAATTGCGGAAGGACAAGATGAAGTTGACTCTTGAGAGGGCGATGGAGAAGAAGAAGATGAAGTTGACTGAAGAAGTGGCTCATCTTTGAAATGGATGGGCCCTTGCACAGGGAAACTTCACAGACGCTCGCCTTCAAGTACAAGTCTCGCATCGTGAGAACCAGAAGATGAAAGAAGAGCATGAAGAGACCCTCAAGATGAAGGTAGAAAAGCAGAATCCTTCCCTGAAGCCCGTGTACTTGGCAAGCATGGGAGGTTGCTGGCGCGCGAGCCGAAACTGTGTGGCTGGTCGCACAGCAAACCTCGTCTACAAGAGGCAGCCGCTCCCACACGTTCTTCGAGACCTGTACTCCAACAGCCCCACTTGGAGGGACTCACTGGGCCCAGGGCACGCATGGTGACCTCACAGGGAAGTCGGTGTCTTCGGCAACGCCGTGGTAGCAGGGAAGCGTTTGAATTCAGATGGGCTGACAAACCCTCTTTTCACCGGTGTTTGCGCGCTGCACGCCAGGGTTTGTACTTGAGATTCCTGACGTCTCGCCGCGCCGAACCCTAGCGGTGGAAACGTCGACCTTGAGAGCCATGCATGTGGCCGCTGGAAAAGTGGCGTGGGTGATCGCCGCTGGACAACCGGGAGGACATTTCCCTGGCACTTCGAGAACCCAGATCTAGGTGAGTTGCGCCTGCTTACCAACAGTATCTATATAACAACTAGACTATAAAGGTCACCGCTACATGTGACCATATCAATATTCACAACACGACATGTGGCAGCAATACTTGGCCCCCATCACAAATCATTGCATCCAACATCACCTCGTGACCATTTCTCACCCGACAAGTATTGCACCTCTTCCTCAACACACTCACAAACAACACACACGCCTATTCTATTTCATGTGTGTGGTTTCATGTATGCGTTTTTCACGAAAGGTAGCCTGGTAAGGACTACCTTGAGTTTGCTTTGCGAAGCAAAGGGACTGGCTTGAGAGCCTGCTCAGGACTAAAGATTGGTAGATCAATGTCTAACACCCCACCCCCCCCTCCCCGCCCCCCCTTCCCATGTGATGATTCATTGATAAATCAATTGTTTTGCACAGCCCCCCCCCTCCAGCACTACTAGCATTCTGGACACACCATCACACCATATATGTGACGTCATGCGCTTCGCAGTCACAGCAGTACGACGCTGGCCATGAGGTTGCGCAATACAGCACGAACCCTGCGGAATGAGGTTGCGCAATGCGGCTTCGATGCCGCGCGTGCGCACCCGGCAGCCTGACACAGCGCGTACTGCGTTCACAGACCATATTTCTCGACACCAACGAGCATCGATGCAACACAGCCTTTTTGCAAAGCCCTGTGGAGAAACCTCTCGCTTCGCGGAGCACCATTCGACTCAGCCTTATACCCTAGCGTGGCGACATCTTACCGCATCGTGGAGCACCGCTACACAGCTATTTATGCACCCTTCACCCACCATAGCGTGACGTCCATCAGTACCGGCCGCACCCTTATAGGGGCCCCTCCAGCACTATCCTTACAAGGGGTTGGTCACTGCGGCTTCCACGCAACGCGTGCAGGCCTGTAATCCTGACACAGTGCGTGCAGCTGCGGGACCATAGCTGGTACACATGCGAGCGTTTACGCATTGCGACTTTTACGCGCGCCTGTTTTCACACACCTTTACACAAACGAGCGTCGACGCAACGCAGCCTTGCAGAGCCGTGTGGCACAATCTGACCGCAACGGTGTTCCCTTTTTTGAGCCTTCTTGTGCTCTCTGGCTTTGTTGGTTTCATCCATGATTGACCAAGGGGAACGTTCCTGAAACACCGGAGACAGTCCCTTACCAGACAAGGTCCCGACAGCTACCCGGTCCGTCTCTACCTTTCGTGTTTACCCGCTCAAGTTGTTCTTCAATTCGGCTCATACATTTTGTGGTGTTACGCGGGGTTCCTTCCTCAGACCCCAAAGCGACAGGTGCGGGACGAGGTGGATCACCAAGGACCAAGCAGCCTTGTCACGATGAGTCCAAAATCCAGACTTTTGAGCAGTCTCCCATAACTAGATGATTAGGAAAAGAGCACGACATGATGGCCTTCATGCTTTGAACGAAGTGGTCAGCTGGTGGTGATTAAGTCAAAAACGGCGTCACCTTTCAAAATCCTGGATTCAAGCACTCTTGAAGGATTGAATATGCGAATTGGTCTTCATCATGGGGAATTCGTTGCCGGAGTCATTGGAAGCAATCAGCTCCGCTTCGACATTTGGGGGGAGGACTGTTGAGCCCCTCACTGTATGCACAGGTTCGAACTAAAACTCCATTTGGCAATTTGCCGTCAATCACTTTCATGACAGCACAAACCATTAGCACTTAACAGTAACACATGATAGTTCTGATATGGTTTGGCTACTGATAGGAAAACAATCTGATTTTGTTTGTTTCACGTCAGAGCTCCAATGAAGCTTGCATCATTGGCAGTACACGGAAGACAGCATCACCTCGCAACAAACCGCAGGTTTCTCCGTTGCACAGCCCAATACCGAAAAAATGGGAAGCCGGCATCCCATTCCCGGCAGGACGTGTTGATCGGAAACCAAATGGAATCCAGCGGCATCTTGGCGAGCTGTGGTCCTTTGGAAGTCCGTCTTCTCGAGGGCTCGGGCCAACTAGAGAACCACAGCATCCGGTGTGGTTTGAACCGTGAATGCGGTTTGCTTCATTCTGGCCGTCAACCCCACTATATAGCAATGATATTGATGTCCAGTCTTTAAATGTTTTCCCACAAACTCCACTTGTGTGTGTGTGTGTGTTTTTGTTGAGAGGTTTCTCGAGGGCACGGATCAAACACTAGATAGAAAGTGTGGTGACCTTTCGGAAGCACTCGCTCACATTCTCCACACTTTTGTGCACAGGTGAGCCAGGAAGGATTTGCTGCAGTGAAACCTTTGTGGAAGTCATGAAGAGCTTCAAGCAGTCGCGCCCTCAGTCTGGAAGATAGCAGAGACACTCTGGAAAACTGAACCTGGTGGCCTCTCAGGTTCACGTTCACCGAGCGAGAACTAGTCAGCTGTTCGGGGTCCACTCGACAATTGCATAGCTACCTGTTGGATCCGCCACATGGTACCTTGGCCGCCTTGGCCGAGCCTGGGAGGTGTTTGTGCATCCTACATAAGTACTATATATTTTGCTACTAGTATCGTCCTTGTTCCTAGTAGCGATGCCAGGAGCCCCTAGTAGCTTCTTGTTCCTCCTAATGAATATGATGGAGTGATGATGAGTGATGGAGTTTGTGCCTTTGTGCCTTTGTGCCATGAGATAGTGAACAGAGCGAGGCAAGTCGATGCATGGATGCATGTTCTGTTTGACCGTGTGCGGGTGCTCGCTTTGAGGCACTGGAACTGGAACTGTCCGCAAGTCCTCGCCTGTGCGAAAGAGTGCAAACAGGACCACCCAGCACCTGACTGGGAGGAAAAGCAAAGGACAAAAATCCAAGTCTGCTGCCTGCAGCATTAGCTAAATATCCTGGTGGCTTCTTTGCTTGCTTAGAGTTGCCTCTACGGTCTGTAACATATATTGCGAGGCTCTATAGATTCTAACTTCCATATAACTATATATATATAACTTCCTAGTTGTCGCATGATATTCTGCTATATATAATTGATGGAAGCCATTGGGTTCGTGCAAAGGTACCAACGTGTGCCAAATGAATTGACCCCAAAGGGGTCGCCCTCAGATCGGCACAGACAGGCAAATGAAAGTTGCCAAAGTAACCAATATCAGATGCTTTTGGTCATGCAGGGTTTGATGTCCATGCCATTTGCTTCGAAAGACCAAAGCTCTTGGCTCGTTGTGGCAGTCGCGAAAGGTTTTTTCCTTTGGCTACATCTCGTCTCGCAGGAGTGGCCGCGTCACATGAATTGGATGTTTGATTTTGCCATGGGACCATGGGACTATATATTCCCAATAAGCAATCATGCAGTGGATTTCTAGGGTATGCCACATGTTGGGGGAAGTGCACTTCCTTGAAAGCACCTGAACTCGAACTTTTTGATGGGGTACAACTCCACAAGAAAAGTTGCCGTTGACATCATTTGACTGGCAGAGGGTTCCAAGAGGTTCTGATACGGGGGCTCTTGCAATTCCGTATGCAAAGAAGTGTCTAACAGGACTTCGTACACGAAGTTCCACTTACTGTAACAGAAGTTTGCTTTGGGGCCATTTAATGGCTGCCAGCCAGTCATTGGACGAAGTGAAACCATGCAAATGACATTCAAGACATGGAGTGTTTGAAGCGGGCATTTGTTTTCAAGGCAGCAAACGGAAGTTTTGGCGACTGCTGCCAATCCCCGCGCCCGGGGTGGAACACTCTTCCTCAGGGACTCAGCGACACAAGAGCTGGGGTCTGACAAGGTGAGACAAATCACATTTCGTTGTGTATCCACTGGGTATCAACTAAATTGATATCAATTTGTGGATGGATTCCCACTTTGGCATCCAAGTAGGCATCCCACATGAAGTGCGTTCCATAGCGTAAGGAAGAACAATGGACAGTGAACACGTCGCACACCCCAATATCACTTTTGTGACAAAACCCGTGTTTTACCTCTCAACGTTGCGATACTGTTCACCGGCCAAGGTCCAAGATCTTGGCTTCCGAAGGCACGTCATTTTCTTGGACAACGTTTGGACTGAATCCGCCGGTGTCAGGCCTTGGAGGGCGACACGATCAACAGAATCAAAGGATGGAAGAAGAACACTTGACCAACAGCACTCAAGTCATGCCAAACGCAGGCAGTTACCAGAAAGCTAGACACAGTTGCATGTTGCGCTGTCTCGACAGACAGGGTGCAGAAAATGAAACTTAGACTTAGTGGCCCAGGTCCATCTCCTCTTTTGCTGGCAGCCTTGTAGCCGCCCAGGTGGTGGTGGTAAGATGGCTGTGACGCATAACTAATAGTATGGCAAAGCAGCTGGCATGTCTACACGTAGTAGATGGAAGTCGGTCAATAATTAGGAGGATGCTTTTGCGGAAAATTCGCAGAGCTCTAATCATTGAATGCCTGAATTTGATCAGAGTATATCAGAGCGATGACTGCAGGTTGCCAGCGCTTCACTGACCCAAGCACAGGTTTGCCCGGAAGCGGGGTGGGATTGACATGGCAGTTGGTTTTCCCTAGTGTATAAGCATGGCCCCATGGCTATGTTCAAAAAAGAAGGTGTAGGAATCGGCAGGTTTGAGTCTAAGTCTACTTTGTCCTTTTTGCATGGGTTTGGGGCGTGCCCTTATCAAATTTGAGCGCTGCTGGCAGTACCCTTCATATCGTAGCCAAAGGAATTCTTGGGAAAGTTGCCAAGCTTTCAATCCTGCACCGTCCATGGTTGTGAAGCCTGGATACAGCGCCATCAGAGTGCGGCAGATTTATATACTATACTGTAATCTCCAAATGTTTCCGAATGTTCAGGGTGTGGTGTGGGGAAGACCTGATCTCGCTATTGATATGGGCGCCGTGGTGCTGCTGGGGTAATGGCGCTGCTGTAGCTGCGCTTTTGCGCGCAATAGCTGGTGGCATGGAGAAGGGTCTCCCCGCAGCTTCGCGGTTTGCAGCTCCGGTCGGGATTTTTAAGCTTCTCTCCCCGCGCAATGGAAGGTTCTTTGTTTGGAGAAAATCTCTGAGAAGACAACATCCTAGACTTCTAGATATTTGGGTGCACAAGAGGGACCAGCTTTGCACCTGCAAACTTGCCAGCAATGGGCTACTATGATCTACTATGTATTTCAGGAACGGTCATGTAAGGCTTTTGTATTGCAAAGGTTTCGTTGGTGCTTCAGGTATGTGCATGAGCTAAGGACCCTGACTGGCCCCCAACTCATCGGGACCACAAATCCAAGCGGTGTGAGAAACAGGCATAGGGCGGTGTATAAGGCAGTATAAGGCCTGAAGGTCTGGATGCTGGTTTGGATTTCTGGAATGTTAACTTTGCTTCAGGGTATGTAGCTTGACGGCATGTAGCCCAAAGTTCGCAAGCAACATTCTGTTATATCCTGTTCCAATGCACAAGCCCATTTCCTGCCATGCAGGTGGGGCATCCTCCTGTGCTTTTCAGGTGGACCTGATCAGTTGTGTCATAAGTCATAATATATATATATAGCAATATATATATATATATACACATTGTATATAATTCGATATTATACATGCAAAGATTTATGGCCAGCACATCAATTGAGACCTGAAAGATGCGTCATAACAAAGTTGAGCGCAAGGAGCCTTGCAAATCGCATGAAGCAGGCTTCCATGAGCCGCCAGGACACGGACTGTTCCGGATGGCGCCACACATAGAGGCACGAGTCTTCAGTGTTCATGTCATGTTCCTGGTCCAAAACTTCAGCGACTTTGCGGACAGTTTTTGCCACATGCTAGCCATGTGCAGCTGCCTGAGACATATACAGCATGGTGCAGCAGAGTGTTTTGCGCTGTGTGCCTGTGGTGCACCGGTTGTTTTGGAACATTTTGTATAGCGTGCTCCACGAGCGTGTTCCGCACTGTGCGACAAAGGTGTGATCAGCGTGATCGGTGACCGCCTTCGGACCCCAAGGGATCACACCAGGAGTGGAGTTGGAGTCGCTTCACAGCCGTTGGATTTGTTCCAAAATCGGCCAGGTCAAAGGTGGACCGTTCGCCCAATGCGAAGCCTCCACACAACACACCAAAGACGCCGTGGAAAAGTTGAGATAAGCATTCCATTCATCTCATTCCTTTTTGTTCAGAAGGATGTGGAAGAGAAATGAAAGCCACGCCGAACAGAAATGAAGTATACCGTATACTTGTATACAGAGGCCGAGTCATCCAATGGTTGTAGCGCTGCCAAAAGGATTATTATGGTGTAATCGACATTGTGCAACCGTCAGGACAGTTCAGAGCGACATTGCGAAGGCAAGTTGAAAGGTTTTTGGTCCTGAAAGGTTGGACTGACGAGAGTTCCACACGGGTCTCATGCCAAATCATGCACTATTTTATGCACAGTTTAGGCATGTCTCAGATGTCTCAGCGAGATGTTTGCTGTTATGCTATGCTGCAGCAATATAGTATATAGAGCTCATGCTTGCGGTATTTCGCAGCGACAAATCAGACAGGTCTCAAGTGCAAAAGCTGGAGCAAGAGGATGTGTTCAGAGTCCTTGAAGAGTTCTAGATTTAGTTCGACGTGTGTTCTGAGCTGCATCGCTTCAGTAATTAGCTCCGCCGCTTAGCTCCGCCATGGAAGATGAGGATGGTGTTGAAGCACCTCACCCATCCCACCCAGCAAAGGAACTGTGGCCATATTGGCCTGGAGGCTTGCCGGCCTTTGCACGGACAATTGACAGTGACAGCTTAGTCCCGATTTTTTGCCTTGTAGCCATGAGTTTGGGACGAAACTCTGCTGTCATTTTGGAGTAGTAGTCGTGGCAAGCCATTGTTTTCTTTAACCTTCCTGGACACATTTTGAGAAGATCATGGGCATGCCCTGGGTGGTCCATTTGCAGCCGCTGCCTGTTGAGGCCTACAAGATCAATGGGACATTGACCTCACTGACTCAACAAAGGAGTGTGACACCGGCGCTGCAGCTGCGTCACCCGAACTTTTGAGCTCTTGCGTGGAGAGATGCCACGCAGAAGTCTTGCAGAGGTTAGACAAGCAAGATGAAGTGCTGAGGCGGCCGCTAGCCGCTAGCGGAAAGATTGATGAAATGACTCCAAGGGATTGGTGCATCTCACAATTAGTTCCCAATCGAAAAACGGTTTGCCCACGTGTTTAGTCCAGCGGTGCCAAGGAAATAGCAAGTAATTATGACCATTGTGTGACTAAATGCGGTCAACTTTCATTTGTAGTACTCGTACAATGCTGCAGGACTTAAGTTCCAAGCCGGCATTCACAAGGAAGCGTTTCAAAGACTTCTTGGAAGAACGTCACCCTCGAGGATCTATATGATGTGTACAATCTTGTACAACTGACCCAGGTAAAAGGCCACACACTCAGACCTTCGGAGCTGCTGCATTGCAGGCGGATTCATATCACTTTGCTGAAGCAGCCAACTGCAAGAGCCTTGAACACCGACATCAATTGTAAACTCCCTGAGATGCACGACAGTGGAGGCTTGCCAGCAAAAGGCCAAGGAGAGGGCAGGGAGGGGCTGGGGTTATGGGCACAACATGGCGGATATGTTTATTCTAGGATTCTAGAATTATCTAGAATTTGATGCTGAGATGTTGCCCATGCCCAATGCATTGCTCCCACAGGACCTTTGGCTAAATGTTTGACTCTTGTTGCATATTTGGTCCGTTTGGATTTCATGTACCAGGTCATGAGTGATAAGGTGCACTATTCATTCAATGTTCCATACAAAGAAGAGTCAACAAGGCAGACGTTCCCTTTTGATTGAAGTGCCAGCGTCTCGGCTCGGTCTTCAACTGTCCGCTTTGTCGGTTTGTCCGTCTGCCTGCCTGCCTGCCAGACAGACTCCAAACTGATTTGCTTGCCATCTCCAAGTCGCGCTCAGGTGAATTTGGCCAGCTGGACATTACCAATTCGCTTATTCTTGGAGAGGAAAAGGTGAAGGTTTGCACGCCAGAGGCCGGCAGGTCGACTCCGGTGGCAGGTCAACTCCATTAAGTCCCAGCAATTGGGCAACGACAAACTGTTTAGCAGAGTGCACGATCAACAAATAAACTGCAGAGGTTTGCGATGCTTTTGCAGCTTGACCCTGTTTACATTAGGAAACTCATTCAGCAAAGGCCTCCTCATGCCTCCTCAATGCAGGCCTCAGTGCCAAAAACACATTCCTCTTGCACCCTGCCAAGACTCCTCAGCAGTCTTCTGGATCAACTCCTCCATGGCATAGCCAAGGCACTCTGCAATATGCTGTGTCTTTGTGGCAAAAATGTCTCATTGGCCCCAGCCACCTTCCATTCATAACCTTCTCTACCCTACCCCTTCCCTGATATAGGACTTAAACCTATGACTGGAGTCTGTATCAGCCAACCTTCTACGGGGTGTTATTTATCCTTCCTCAACACTGCTGAATGGGCAATGCCAAAGGCATGGGCCAACAATGAGCCAGCATCGGAACAAAGGGGTAAGTTAGAGAAGGCCATTTAACTTGCAAAAGCATTATTGGATATCATGGGGTGGAGTTGATGAAGTTAAAAGGCGCGAAGAAAGGGAAGAAAGGCGGTTAGTATTGCCAAAAGATTGGCTCCAGAAAGGTTGACCAATCTACTTGGGGGTGGCTGCTAAGCTACAACCGAAACAAACATGAACGTAAAAACACTCCAAAAGCACAAAAGTCAAAAAGTGTTCGCCTTGTCGACTTATCGTTATTTGTCAACCTTTTGGTTTTTGCGGCTTGTTTTTGCAGCCTGTTTTGTGTCTTTTTTGACTTTTTAATTGGGGAGCGCCACCGTTAATTATTCCAGGGGCCCATGTGACCTCCATGAATAATTTTTGTGAATAATTTTGACTGGAATAAGTTTTCTGCCAGAGGGTCAGATCAAGGGGTGTAGAAGGGGCCATTGTAATAATTATGTGGTAGACCCCCTCAATAGACATAATCTGGAGCAGTTATTGCCAACTAACATCGTGCTGACATTGGCTCAACATGTGGATAGAGATCAAGAAGGGCCAATGACAAAGAAGTACAACGGATATCAGTATGGCTTTGTATGGCTTTGTCGGTGCTTGTGAGTGGGTCCATTGATATGAAAACTATTCGAGAATAAGTTAAAGGACCAAATTATTCACCTAGTGGATAATATTGGCTTAAGGAAATAGTTATTTTATTCACAGGGGTCCCCTTGCAGTCACCCTGCTAAGGGGCCCCCCATCTTTTTAATGTTTCGCACTTTGCGGGCCCTCTTTTTTCCAACTTCCAGTCTGGAAGTGGAAGCCGTCCTACTTTTCGCAAGTTTGGACTGTTCGAGTCCACCGGAGAAGCGACGACCGTTTTGTGCAAATTTTCAGAGGTTTGGGTAGTTCACATGAAGCAAGATTCATACTGAGTCATAATATTGAAGGTTGGGCTGAAACCAATACCATGTCACCAGGGCTGACTCTAGATTCAGTGCGGTCCTTGCTTTTAGGCTTGTGGCGTAAGCTACACGCGTATTGCAAAGGCTCAACATGGACAGAGTGGGGCCAAGAACGAAGTAGCCAGTTGACTCAAGGCATTTCCCGATGTTGCAACTCCTGTCTATATATATAATTGGTATGGTCGATCAAAAGTTGCACATGGCCAGGATCAAGATTCTTCATCACAAAACCATCCTGCAGGAGACCCTTGTCACAGAAGCCGTTTAACATAGAAACTGTTGTGTGACCCATCCGAGCCTCACCCTCACCCGGAGGGAATTCCGCAAACTTCCAAGATTGCAAGAAGTTGCCTGTCCTCAACGGGCTGCCGTATGATCTTCCATGATCCCATGGATTTGGCTTCTCCATCTCGCACCAAGTCCTCGCGTAAAGACAATTTGGCAAGCCGTGCCAGAATCCAAAGATCGTTTGATGATCTCAAAAGTCGCATGCCAGTTTGATACTAGCCAGTTAGAGTTATAACTCCCCAGCACGGCCCGACGCGAAAGCCCAAACCAGTTCCAACAACAAAGACCTATGAGCTGTGATTATGTTTTCGGAAAATTGTCAGTACTGAAATCCAGGGAAACGTCGTAGGAATTGATATTGTTTGTTTCATTTCTGTCATGCGAGATTGACACTTCCATGACAGAACTCAAGCAAACACTGTCCATTCGAAGGACTTTTTGTTGTTTGATTTCTGAAACGAATGTGTTCTCAAAACCGAATCATATAGATATAGTTGGGAAATGTATTTTTGTTCATGCCTGGTGCTTTCGCGTGCAGTTAATTTGTTTGATGTCTTGGGTTTTCGTGCTGGTGAGTTGTTGTTCCTTTCTGGAACTATACAATTTGTTCATGGCTCGGGCTTTCGTGCTGGGGGATTAAAATTGTTTTTCCAAAACTGGGCATATATTGTTTTCATGGCTCGGAGTTTTGTGCTTGTGAGTTGTAGGTTTTTTTTGGAACGATGCAGGGCCAAGAGCCTTGAGAGAAGCACTGGCCAGACTGGGAAGTTAGAGCAGAAGAGAAAGGACCATGTTGACTTTGGTGCATGCGCGTTTGGATGTCTAGAACCCAAATGTGTGGATCCATCTCTCGGTGTGATTTGTCTAGTTTGCGACGTTTGGGTTTTCATCGCAAGTGTTTGTTTGTTTTCAACTGAATTTTCCATACAAGCCCTTTACAACTTGTGAAATTCTACATCCTTCTAGATTATGACTTTTGTTGTTTGCTTTTTAACTTTTCGACCCTGGAAGTAGAGGCCGTCCTACTTTCGACTTTTTGGTTTTTGTTTGTTTTTTCCGCATTTCTTGACTTCTCGAATGTGCCTGAAAATCAAAATCATTTTTTTGACTTTTCGGATTCCAAACGATTCCAAACGGACATTTTCATTTTCGGGTCAGGGAATGAATTTGACTAACGCTGAGTTGCTGGTCCAGGGATTGCCTTTTGTAATATTATTATACAGTACAGTGTATTGTTCCCTTTGCCACCTGTTTTAGGTGTTCCACACCTTCACTGAAGCTGATTTGGTCTTGCGGGAGAGGGCCGCAGAGGTCGACGGGGACCTCAGCCGGCAGCTCTATGCAAGTGCTGCTAGCACTCAGGCACCACCTGTTGACATGATCAGCATGATCAAAGTGCTTCGGCATGTTGTCACATACGGGCAAGGTTGTTTTCCCACAAGTGACGTGCGGATTCGATAGGTTTTCCAAAGACTGAATCGATATTTTTTCTGTGGACATTTCTACATGCGCCATGTTCTTTGATCCAGCCAACTTCGGCCCTTCTGTGAGCATCAGTGCCTGTCGGGAAATTTTGTTCACATGAATAAGTTCCAATTCAGGTTGCATGTTCGGTTAGTGAGATCTAGACAACTAGATGATCTGGATGACGGACGTCGTGAGCGCCAGGGCACGCTGGATAGAACACGCAAAGAACGACTGCAACTGTGGTTTCGCAACCTTGTGAACTCGCCGGCCTTTGATATGTTTTTTGCCTTCGTGGTCCTCACCAATTCAGTGTTTCTCGGGATTGAAGTAGAAGCTCAGACTGATTCATCAGATTTTTTTCCACCCCACAAAACAGAACTTGACCACTTTGGATGTTTCCCACAACTGCTGCCAAGGCATTTTATTTTGGTCTTCAGCAATTGAAAGCAAAAGTGATCAAAAGTAAAAGACGGTGAAAGTGCTTGTAAATCCTGGTTGTAGCTGCGGTTTTGTTGGGTTCATGCAGGCCAGCTCCACACCCATTCCTAGTGGCAGATCCGCGATCTGTGTTGATGTTTCTAGCATGAGGCACAGGCACGAGGCCAATGTATTGACCCGGCGTTCCGGGCACTTGGCAGAGTCAGCCAGCCAGCCAGCCAGCTATCAAAAAATTCACGGGAATCAGCCAGCCAGCCACCTAAAAAGTATCCGGCGGAATCGACCACCAAAAGTATCCGGCGGCTGGCGGAATCACACTTAGGCCCCGAACATCAGGGTCTATAAATGCAATTGTGCATCCAATCGATCAAAGTGCCGGTGTTCATCGTTTTGAACTTTGCATTTGTAGTCATTTGTCAGTAGCTGCTGCCACATCCGCTTGTGGTGATTTTGTTGGTCACTGGCCCGCACGTCAGCACATTCCACACCCCAGCCCTACGAAGCTTGACACCGGTGGATCGAGCTGCCTTTTTGCGAGGCTGGCTTTGCACTTTGGTCAAGTCATGTTGGATTTTGGAACCATGATTCCATGCGAAGCATTGCAAAAGCATTCCCAAGCCAATTGCCCCAAATAGACCTTGCTTTAGCGTTTTGCAACTTGATGTTCATTTTTAACAGCCTACTAACCGTTGAAAAGGTCGGAGTTATCTTGGGACCAATGGGACCTGGCCGTAGGACCTGTCACCCGTCCGTAGCATGAGTGTTCTGGGCTTGCATGTTTGGGTCCTGCGGGTCGCAAGAAGTTGGGAGTTCTGAGTGGCAAACGGAATAAATTAGCAAGTAATCCAATTGGAAAACTGTTTCTTTTCATTTAGATTATATACAAATTCAATATTTGTGTAAGTTTATAAATGTAGATACTGACTGATACTAACATAGATATAAATTATATAAAGCGATATCCACGTCCATTACTTCCTTGTTTATGCGTCTATTTCTACCAGTAACTGAGTTGGTTTGAGCTAAGGAGCTTGGCATGCACACCGATGAACAACCGTTTGCGCTGGAAGTGGTACAGCTCATATATGCCGCAACTTGGAGAAATCTGACAGACTACCGGTTCAAACTCATCAATAACATGCCAAGACTTAGGGCTTATATAGGTTGCCTTCAGCAGATAAACATGTATTCATGACATATCCCTTGGGCTGTGTACTTTAGTAGCCGGGCAATCCCTGTGGGACGCCAGAGACTGTCGCTGCAGGTGAAGGTATTTTCAGGCACTCGTTGCAGTTCTTGTGAGTTGCATGTTTTGTGGAAGAATTGAGTGAGGAAGGTTGTGATTTCTAGTACTATGATACTATACAGTTGGTAGGAATGCTAATGCTAATGCCGAGACTTTGGTGGGAAGACTCCTGGCATGCCTCAGTCGTTGTAGTAACAGTATGTAGCAGTCAGAACGCGTTCATGTGGGACGGAACGTATGTGAATATGAGGGAGGGGGTGTGCATGCTGTGTGTTATTGAACAGCTTACCAAAGGATGGCGGCATGTCAGTCTAGACCAGGGTACCGAGGAGAGAGGAGAGTAGGAACTATGAACTAACAGCCAGGAGCTTTTGCTTGTTGCAACAATGATAGTGTAGAGTCTGAGTCTAGAGTGAAATGGACACATCCAGCAGTGGTGATAATCAGTTTGAGCACTGTTCCGATTTTGAGCAAGAAGCTACTAGGAGCAAAGGGCATTACTACTAGGAGCAAGAAGCTACTATTCTGATTTAAGGGGCTCTTCACCGCTGAGCTGGCCATGCGCGTGGGAGCTTTTGGCCTCGGCACCTGTGGCGGCAGATGGTGTGTTCCTTCTAAACGGAAAGGTCGCAGGGCAGAAAACCTTGTTAGACTTACTAGCTTCTTATTACTACTAGTAAGGCACTTGTTACTAGTAGCGATGCACTTGTTACTACTAGTTTCACTGAGGAAGGTTTGCCTGTGTTTAGATCTTGACTGAGCAGAACACAGATGGCCTGAACTGCATGCTGCGTGCTGTTGTGAACAACGTGTGCGTGTACGTGTCAAGTTCTTGGGCTTGGATCACCTGAAATTTGGGCCTGCTGTGCTGCTCGTTGCTGCAGAGGCTATTTTTGTGGTAGTGACTGGATGTGGGCCTGGTTGGACTTTGGGATCGTGCTCATTTCCCTCGTTGAAATCTTCGTGGACTTCCTTGACAAGGCAAACTGGACAATCACGATTGGCTCCAAATAGAGCAGAAATCGGCCTGAAGTGCAATTGCCTGATGAGAACTAACTTAGAGGCACTGGAAAAAGTTGAACAAGGGCAGCTCGGTGTTGCCTGTCTTCAGTTTTTTGCAGCAAGAGAGGCATCTCTCCGGGCAACATTCACAAGGTGTTGAGAGATTGGATTTGTGGTTAGGTATGGGTGCCATTGAGGGCGGATGTTTGTTCCACTTCGGTGAACACGATCAAGTCTTTGTTTCGGAACCTTTGGAGTGACTGAGCGTTGCTGATGTGGAGGTGCGAACCGGCGGCGAGGTGGATTCCAATGCCGTGGGAAGCTTCACGGGGTTCAAAGCCTTGAGACTTATACGCATCACACGCCCCTTGGCGAAGAAGACACTGGTCTATAATGGTTTCTGGTCCATGGCATTCCGGGTGAACCTTGTTTCAGCTCAAGGTATTCTGCTTCAAATCCATTAACTACGCATGCACTGGGCATAGATTGCCAAAAGCATGCAAGCTAACCACTCACCAACCGCTAATAGAATTTGATAGGAATCACAGTGCTGGTGCTCTATGGTGCTCTCTTTCTCTCCTTCCTCTATAATGGATCCAATTCGGGACCTCGTGAATCATCAACAAGACTCAACTGACTCGCTTTCAATACCTGCTTGTATACGGGCACAACATGATCCAAATCAAACGACTTATAACGACTTGATGTTTTGTATGTCAGTAATGATCGGTATCATTCAGTATCTATGTAGGTCAGCGTGTCAGCAAGTCCTGCGAGCGGCGACGCAATGGCTTCGTTGAGGCCTTTTGAAGACATTGCGCGTGGTAAGAATCTTCCGATTCGTGATGGCACTCCGCACTTTGGTCACCTCCATTGTCTACACGCTCCGCTCGCTATTCTGGGCACTCACATTGCTGCTGCTGATTGCATCATAGCCTGACAACTATTTTCACGGACTTGCTTGGATCCTTTCGACCTTGTTCTTCAGAGCAGCATCACGCAAGGTATACGTATTTTCGGTGCTTATCACGCAAGCAGTGGATCCGTATTTGCGTGAGAATCCGTGCCATGGTTGAATGGTGGAATTACAAAGTGAATGTTTTATGCTGCCCAACTTCTATTCTAGGCTCGTGTCCCTGCCGGACGAAGAGTTGGAAATGGCTCGTGCGCATCTAAATTCCTTGACGCAAACGATGTTGAGCCTCTTCATGAGCATCTCTGGCGGCTTGAACTGGGTTGATTTGGCTGGTCCCCTTCAGGCTCGGGGTGGGAGCGTGGAGCCTGGCAATCAAACCAGCAAATAAGAATGTGCAACTTGAAGGACACGAACAGGCTCAGAGAGTCTTAGAGAGTTACTTCAGTGTAGTTCCTAGCCCAGAAGTTCTTCAAGGGTTGTGTGTTTCTGTGTTTGTTCTTTGCGGGGTAGCATTGTTTCCTGAAGGGCGCACCAGATGTTTGAGGCAATTTCGACCTTTTGAGTCTTTGTGCTACTTTTCTACGTCTCTTGGACTTCATTTGGATGTTTGTTTTGTGTGCCCCAAAGTTATATTTACATATATTAACACACAGGCTGGGCTGCAAATTCCAGCAGATACGAATATTTAATAGAGTGCCACAAGCCATCCACAAAGAACACAGAGGGATTTTTCCGCCTATTTTGCGAGAGGCTGCCATGTTTAAGTTCAGTGAGCGAGGAATGAAGTTGCCAATGTGAGAGCACTGAGTTAGCTTTGAGTGGAACGCTGCACTAGCCAGTGTATAGATAGATCAATCAAACACCACAAATGGACACTGTCCAGTCAGTCGGGTAATGAACTGATACCGCCAGTCTTCCTTAGATGGCACATGCCCGAAAGCGATCCTTGGCTTTGCTGCAGAAGTTGGATCCAAATGCACTCACCCAATCTTGGGTGGTTGCTCTCCTTGCTGCAACACGCATTCTGCTTATACAGAGTGTATCCATGCCTAGGCCTTGCCAGCAGCACTCGTCCAATCCGAAACAACCAGAACACCTGGAGACTTCGTTGCACTGCCCTTTTTAATCCTTTGCCTTCGCGTTTTGCACCGGTGGGTCCCGCTGGCCCTCAAAAATTGCCAAAGCTAAAGAAGTGAGCCAGTGAGCTAAATTTTTCCTTGGTGGCTCGGGCAGGCCGCCTGTGACTAGTAGCTTCTTGTTAATAGTAGCGATGCCTCTTGTTACTAGTAGCCTCTATCTACTAGTAGTAATGCCCTTGTTACTACTAGTAACAATTCAGAAAGCCATTCACTGCTTTGAGTGGACCCTCCCGTCGCAATGCTTCCTTGCAAAACATTCTCCGCGGCTGCTGTACTGCTTGCACTGCAAATCGAATTTGCATCAGTACTTGCCACGGTGTTCGCTCCTGGAAACGCACTATTTGGCACAGTAAGCGATATAAATAAGTTCCTGACAAGAATGTCTTGGCTGAGAGCCGCTCGGGTGCTTTAAAAAGGATGCCGGAGAACACTGCTGGAATCACATGAAGCGTTCTTGCTCCCTCCTCTTTCTGGCTCTCAAGCTGCAATGATGGAATAGCAGGCTTCTTCTCAGGGTGGCTTGACGGCGGGCGTTCGACTCTACCTCCCACCCTGATGGATCCCCGCGGAGAGAGCGCATGGGCCAACTGCATGTTCACTTGATGATCATGGCCTGGATGGTTTCAATACTCTATGTTCAATCAGCGGGCAACATTTAGCGGAGAAATTAACACTCTAGTTCTTTGCATCTTCCGACCTGACATGCCTTGGTGTTTTCTTGAGATGAACATGTAAGTGCAGCGGCCCAAAGATCGCACGCAGCACTGAAGAGCGCAGCCG